GTTCGAATCCACCAGATGCTCTGCCGGGAAAGGAGGGACAATCTCCTCCAGTACCAGTCAGATCTGATTTGACGGTACACGTACACAAAATAATAAAATTTAAAAAAAAAAAGACTGTTTCCTTTAAAAAAAATTTTAAAAACAAACAAACTGGGGAAATCAATGCTGCTTTTTTTAGTAAAGGGCTCTATTCAGTCCCACTGACACTGAAACCCACTGCTGTGCGAGTCAGCTTCAGCTAATGTCAACCCTCCCCTGGGTCTCCAAGGCTGCAAATCTTCACAGGAGGACCCTGTCCAACTTTCCCCCTCCAAGAAGCTAGTGAATTCAAATCACCCACACCACCAGGATCCCTTCAGTTGAAAATCAACATTTAATACATTTAACTGCATGGCAAGAACACGTGTGTTGACTGCTCTGTGTTACTGTGAGAGGCCATCTAGTCGAGTACGACTCACACAGACCCTATGAACCATGGATCTGAGCTCTGCCGTATGCTGACAACATGCTCTGAGTAGGTGAGACCAAATCCTTGCCTCTAAGGAGCAGCCATCCAAGGGAGCTCTGGGGGCCTGGTGCCAAGCAGCTGCTCTGAAATCCCAAAGGCACCCAGTTCAAATCCACCAGCTGCTTCATGGGAGAAGGATGGGCAATCTCCTCCTGTGCAATTTAACTGCCGCTAAAAACCGACCAGAGGGTCAGCTGTGGGTTGGTTCCAACTCGATCATACACAAGAACTACGTGTACTCCACACAATTCAATTCTAAAACCATTTCCACATTGCTGCTGTTGTTAAGTGCCGTGGAGTCGAGAATGACTCATCTCAACCAGAGGAACAAAAGATCTGAACCATGCTTTGTAACTATCATTGTTTCTCTAACATTCACAGAGTTTCCAAAGGCAGGTTGTTTAGGAAGTGGACGCCAATCCTGCTTCCAGGCCTGTCTTATTCTGGGAGCTCGACCAACTCTGTCCACCCTGGGTAACCCATTATAGCATGTGACACACCAGTGGCACAGTGTTCAGTACCACAGCAACCCTAAGTTATTTCAGTTCAGCAAACTGACAGACAAGTGCTGTATCGCTTAGAAGAATGTTGTTTCCAAACACAATTAATACCAGGCCTTCAAGCCCAATAGATTTTTAAATATAAAGGCCCACCCATCAGGTCCTGAATGACTTAAACAAGAGGCTTCCAGCCCACAGTTAATTGTTAGCGAAATCCAGTTAATCCAGGCAAGGAATCAGGCCTCTCACAGAAACACAGCAGCTCTCGCTCTCTCTCTCTGTCACACACACACACACACACACACTTAAAAACAACAACACCACCAAAACCTAACCAATATACACTTTCAACTAAAACGAGAGAATCTACCCTCTAGAATCCAACTGCTTCCCACATGAGCCTCCCAACTGGTTTCCAACCTGTGTGTTAAAAAAGCAACACTCCCACTGCTTGCTAATAAGTTCCCAGCATCTAGTTCTGCTGTCAGAGAAAAACAAGTGGATAGCTTAACACACACAAATTTATTTTCTCACAGTTTCACAGGCCAGAAGTCTGTTAAAAAAAAAAAGCCGTTTAAATTCAGGAAAAGCCAAGTTCTCTGTCAGCTGGGGTGGAAGCTCCTCTTCTGTTCAGCTTTTATTTCTCATTCCAGGGAGTCTTCTGCCTGCCTGTGGCCATTTGGCATCTCTCTCTCTCTCCTACTTAATCTCTGCAGACTTCAGAAGGGATTGCATCTAAATACAACCTACACTAATCCTGCCTCGTGTACATTAACAAAGGCAACGCAAGCTCAAATGGGATTATGATCAAGGGACCCACAGGTTGATATTTACAATGTGTCAGTTCAGGGGAGGGGGCACGATGTGATTCAATTCCTAACAGTGTGCAGAGTTGAGTGTGTGCGGGTGAAACTTTGTGGGTCACAGGTCGTCCACTGAGCCCCCTAAAGCCTTAGACCGACGGATCAGTGGCGAATCAGCCCCTCTCCAACAGTGTCCTCTACTCGTGGCACATAACAACCCTGCCCAAAGGTGGACAGTCTCCTCCCGTGCGATTTTCAACCTCTGAAAGCCCAGGGGAGCGTGAGCGACCCAGTCGGCTCCGACTCCACGGGACATGACCAGCCAGTGGCCAGCTATGAAACTCCCGCTCTCATGATCGCCTCGGAACCGACCCGTAGCTGACCCTCCAGCAGGATTTCAGAGACACCGGAAGGAGAGACCCTTCGGGATGGCGCAGCTCGTTGTCACCAGAACAGGAATTTTTAAAATGACACGATTCTCTGCCCTGAGCTGCTTCTCTCTGAGAAAAGGCTCTCCGGGAAGCTTCCCGGCTCCTGGGGGCCTGAACTTCCCAAGCGTCACCCGGATCATCCTCCTGTCACGTGTTTACTGACCACCACCTGGACCACAGGTCCCTCCGATAATCGTCCCTCCTGATCAAACGTTACCGCTTCCCCACCGCCGGTCCCGACCCAAACCAGACACAGAATGCATCAGGGTCGGGACCTCAGCCTCACCGGAGGGACAACTCGCCAAAACACCCCGAGTGCTGAAAGTGAGGAGCCGGAATCCGCGTCCCGAGGCGCCCACCCGCCTGCCTGCGATCCCCGCGGCCTGCGGCCCGCCCGGCAAGAGCTCACCCGCCTCCCCGACCCGGGGCCGGACACTAAGCAGCACTCACACCCGCTTCTCTCCCCCAGCTAGCCCAAGTTCCGAAAAGTTGCCTTGACTTCCGTGAACTCCTTCCACTCACGCACTACATCTCCCTGTCCACCTACGGAAGCCCACGAGGGGCGGGAACTGACAGGTGCACGGATGGCAGCATTTCCGGCGGGGCCTTATGACGTTGCCTATGTTCGCCTACGGAAGCCGGCGAGGGGTGGGCACCACTCCTACATTTCCGGCGGGGTCTTATGACGTTGAACCCGTGTCTGCCTACGGAAGCCGGCGAGGGGCGGAGACAGCGGCGACATTTCCGGCGGGGTCTTATGACGTGTAACATCAGTAAACGTACGGAAGCCTGCGAGGGGCGGGCACTCGACGGCCTTTCCGGCGTAGCCTTATGACGTAGAACTACCCACCTACGGAAGCCGGATAGGGGCGGGCACCAATCATGCATTTCCGGCTTGGTCTTATGACGTATTACCTTTCCCCGCCTACGGAAGCGGATAGGGGCGGGCACCGTGGCAGGCGCACGAAGGGCAACAATTCCGTCGGGGGTTTATGACGTATGTTATTACGCCACGGCGCACGTCTCGCGCGTCAGGGCGGAAGTGTCTGTCTAGGAGTCAATGACCGATCATCCACGAGGTTGAACAAGTGGCCGTGGCCGGGAGAGCGTGGGATCGTGTCCTCACCCCCACTGCGCGGTCTCCTTCTTCACTGACACTGGCACCAAAGGGATGGACATTTCTTTTTAAATTGGTTTTGTTCACATTTTTTTTTAGTGAAGGTTTTTCATTTAAATAATTCCAGTGTCGTTAATAAGTTAAAGTGTCTAATCAACTTTTTAAAATTAATTTCAATGAAAGTTTACAGAGACTTTTAAGTTCCATTCATTCATTGTTGCACTTTCTCCTTGCCCACGCCTCCCCTCCAATTCACTCTTCTCCTGGAAAAGTAAAACTCTCCGTGTTATCCAAGGCCTCCCCGCCCCTCCAAGTCCACTCCACTATGCAGCCTTCGCTCTGGACTCCTGTCATGACAATAATACCTAATTACATACCCCTTTAAAACAGTTCTCTCCCTCATCTGTTTCAATGCAGTATACATCATTCCTCCCCTCCTTCTCTGTCTTCCCTCAACCTCGACCTCAGTGCCATTTTGCAACAGTGGCCCTGTGCAATATTTGTCCTTTAGTCACTGAGATATTTCACTCAGCATAATGTCCTCCAAGGTCACCCATTTTGAACAATATTTCATGAGTTCCTTGTTTTTCAATGTTGTACAGTATTCCATTGTGTGAATATCTAACCAACTTCCCCCCCCATGTGGAATAGTTTATTAATTTAATACCTCAGCACATTTTAATTGAATGTCTGCCACCTGCTAGGCACTGCCCATGGAGTTCAAAATCCAACAGTGAACAAGATAGAAAAATAAATGTTGAAGGAATTCTGGAAATGCAGCTTTAAAAGTACACAATGGAATACTATGCAGCATTGAAAAAAAGGAACTCATGAAATATTGTGCAAAATGGGTGACCCTGGAGGACATTAAACTGAGTGAAATATCTCAGTCACAAAAGGACAAATATTGCATAGGGCCACTGTTGTAAAACGGTGCATTGACATAGATGAGGGAGAGAACTGTTTAAAAGGGATATGTGATTAGGTATTATTGTCATGACAGGAGTCCAGAATGAAGGCTGCACAGTGGAGTGGACCTGGGGGGAGGGTTTGTACAACAATGAAAGAGTTTTTCTTTTCAAAGAGAAGAGTGAATTGGAGGGGAGGGGTGGGCAGGGAGTAAAGTGCAACAATGAATGACTGGAAACCCTAAGTCTCTGTAAACTTTAATTTTTTTAAAAAAAAAAAAATTATGTATGTGTTTGTGCCCCATGTCCCACCAATAAAGTGTTGTCCCTCTCCCAGCCACCACCTCTCAAGTGAGTTTCACCATGTAACAAAATTCCATATACTGATCTGGTTTTTTTTAAAAAAAAAATCACCGTATTTATTCCCCTCACACAGATTGTGTGAGTTTTTCACCTGTTCTGGTCGTAGAACAGATTAACTGCTCTGTGTGTGTGAGCACAACAGTCGCTCTTATCAACGCCTGTCCTTCGACAGGATGAGGTATCTGGCTTTCCGAGCCTCCGCACTCTCTGGCTTCCCTGGAGACAGGCTTCCACGCCATGCAATGAGGTAGACATTTCTTCACGCCCCCTTTCTGAGGGAGGTACCTGAGTTTACCCTAGGGGTTCTGGGGGACATAAAACAGGACGTAGTTGGACCCTGAGGGCACAGCCACATTGAGGACATTCAGGGGCACCACCACGTTGGCAGGGTCCACCGGGTGCCTCTGTGAGCCGGAGTCTCTGTTCTCTCCAGGGGCTTCGCTTGGAGCCAATGGCTGCCCCACGAGCACCAGGCTGACCGGGGTCTGAGAGGTCGCCGGTGGCACCTGCAGGGTCAGCGAGCTCACAGGGCTGATGCCCTGCACGTGGTCACTGGTCCTTGGGGGACCACAGTGTGCTTTGGGCACCCCTTCTGCCAGGCCACCCTCTGACAAGCCACCTGCCGCCTGCCTCTGTCTCTTGTGCCGCCTCTGATGCGAGTACAGGTTGGAGGCGTAGCCAAAGGTCTGGCCACACTCCTTGCACGTGTACAGGCGCCCGGCCGAGTGTGACCGCTGGTGGCCCTTGAGCTCCCGCTTGGTCTCGAAGGCCTTGGGGCACTGGGCGCACTGGAAGCGCTTCTCGGCGCTGTGGATCTTCTGGTGCGTCACCAGCGTGCCCTTGTGCGCATAGCAGCGGCCGCACTGTGCGCAGGGGAAGCGGCCGCGGCCCGCGTGCGCCCGCAGATGCACCAGGAGGCACGACTGCTGCCCGAAGCCCTTGCCGCACACGCTGCACAGGTAGGGCCGCTCGCCCGTGTGCGTGCGCGCATGGTTGGCCAGGTGCGTCTTCTGGTTGAAGCCCTTGCCGCATTGGCCGCAGGCGTAGGGCTTCTCGCCACGGTGGGCGCGCTGGTGGATGCGCAGGGGGCCCTTGCGGATGAAGGCCTTGCCGCACTGTGCGCAGGCGAAAGGCCGCTCGCCCGTGTGCGTGCGCTCGTGCACCACCAGCTCCGACTTCTGCGTGAAGGCCCTGCCGCACTGCGCACACGCGAAGGGCCGCTCGCCGGTGTGCGTGCGCCGGTGCACCGTGAGGTTGGTGCGCTGTGCGAAGCGCTTGCCGCAGTCCGGGCAGGCGTGCGGCCGCTCGGCTGTGTGCGCCTTCTGGTGCTTCAGGAGGCCGGATTCATAGCGGTAGGACCTGGGGCACGCGGCGCATTGGAACAGCTTGTGGCCGCGGTGGCTGGCGCGCTGGTGCTCCACGAGCTGGGCCTTGCGCGCGAAGGTCTCAGCACAGAGGCTGCATTGGTGGGGCTTCTGGCCCGTGTGCAGGACCTGGTGGTCCAGGAAGAAGGACCTGCGTGCAAAGCGCTTGCCACACTCCCCGCACACGTGCGGCTTCTCCGCCGGGCGCACCTGCCCGCTCCGGGGCCCAATGGATCTCTCCTTCCCCGGGAACTTCCTTTCGGAACAAAGCTGCTCATGGTCCTGGGGGGGAAAGGCCCTCATCCCTCCCTCAAGCCCCTCGGGCTCCTTGGCCTCCTGGCATGGACTCTGGCTGACCACTGCTGAGGCTGGGTGTGGTCTCGGGCTTCCCAGGAAAGGGAGAGGGCGGTCAGGCCGATGTGCAGTGTCCTGCCGGCCTTGAAGCTGGTGCCACTGGTCCCTTATCTCACTCTGCCCGCGTTCCAGCACACGATGGTCCCCTTGACAGGTAGCTAGGAAACGAGAAAACAGGAGTAAATCTCTCCACCCTTTGGATCTGAAAGGAAACCTTTTCATTTAAAAACGACAGCAAAAAAAGCCCCACCAAAAAGAAAAGTCAAGACAGATGCTTTCCTACCAAGTACCCACTAAAGAAGAGAGAACCATTGTTTGGCTATAAGTTGATGGAGTCAGGAAAAGGGGTTCACAAGTGGAAGCTGGGGTGAAACGGAGGATAAACCCGACACACTCTCATTAATCACACATACCACCACACACTAAGGGGCCCCCCGAGCCAGCATCTTTGGCAAAGAGTGGAAATAAAACAGGATACCAGTGTTCCCGGAAGACTGATAAAAACTGTATGTGTGTGTATATATATGTATATGTATGTATATATGTCTATATATATGTGTGTGTGTGTATGTGTGTAATTAAACGTATATAGGTATATATGTATGTATATTTGTATTTATACAGGTATAGGTCTATATATGTGTGTGTGTGTATATGTATATATGTATGTATGTATGTATTATATTTATTTCAACCTATATGCAGAACAGATCATCCGGGAGGCCGGGCTCTATAAGGAGAAGTGTGCCGTCAGGATTGGTGGAAGATCTATCAACAATCTGCGTTATGCAGATGATACAACCCTGCTTGCTGAAACTGAGGAGGACCTCATGTACTTGCTGCGGAGGGTCAAGGACTGCAACCTTCAGTATGGACTGAGGCTCAATGTCAAGAAGACAAAGATTCTCACCCCTGGACCAATTGGCAGCATCAGGATGGATGGTGAAGAGATTGAAATTGTTCACAGCTTCAGTTTGCTCGGCTCCACAGTCAACACTTTTGGCAACAGTAGCCAAGAAATAAAAAAAAGTATCACGATGAGAAAGTCTGCTATTAGGGACCTCTCCAGGGTACTGAAGAGCAATGGTGTCACTCTGGAGACTAAGGTGTGCCTGACACAGGCCATGGTCTTTGCAATCACTTGTTATGCGTCAGTGAGCTGGACAATGACTAGGGAGACTAGAAGGAGAATTGACACCTTTGAGCTGTGGTGCTGGAGAGGAGTATTGAATGTTCCATGGACTGCTAGGAAAACAAACAGATTCATCCTAGAGAGGGTTAAACCAGGCTACTCCTTGGAGGCAAGGATTCTGGGGCTTCATCTGACATACTTTGGACATGTTGTAAGGGAGGGACCGGTCCTTGGAGAGGGACATCATGCTTGGGAGGGTGGAGGGACAGCGCAGGAGGGGAAGGCCCTCTATGAGGTGGATTGATTCAGTGACTGCGGTAACTGGGACGGGAGTGTCAGAGACAGTGTGATTGGCACAGGATAGAGCAGGGTTTAGGGCTGTTGTACATAGGGTCGCTATGAGTTGTAAGCAACTCGACGGCACACAACAACAACGATGTATCTATGCATATGTATATGTATATATATATGCATATATTTATATGTGTACAGGTGTATATGTGTATATGTTGTTGTTGGTTGCCATCGAGTTGAGCACGACTCATAGCGACTCTACGAACAAAAGTCCTGGAGCCCCTCTACAACTATCAACATTTATCCAAGTTCACAGAGTTTCTGGAGGCGTGTTGTTTAGGAAGTGGATGCTTCCACTTCCTGCTTCCAAAGGTATGTATTTGTTGTTGTTGTTGTTGTTATGTGCCGTCAACATAGAGGTAAGAAATTGCACAGCAGTCTTGAAGCTGCTCTGCTGAAGGAGGGACAGTCTCCTCCTGTGGGATAAACATCCTCTGAAAACACGCTGGAGGGTCAGCTATGGGTCAGTTCCAACTCTACAGCGACACACACACACACACACACGAGACACACACACACACACGAGACACACACACACACACACACACAGCTGTTCCTATAGAATATTATCTATGCTATTTTACAGTTTCTATATTATAGTATCTTAGAGTGTCCGTGCTGTGTGTTGTGTGGTCACGCTGTGAACTGTCTGTCTCGGAGGAAATGCGTCGAGAATACTCCTTAGAGTCAAGCCTGGTGAAACCTGGTCTCACACACATTGAGCGTGCTGTCAGGACGGAACGATGGACTGACACGGTGAGCGTGATAATGGGCTTGGGCGAATCGGGGCTGGGGAGGATGGTGCCGGAGAGGCCGAGGTGCAGATCGTCTGTTCAGCCTCACAGTTCACAGCGTCACTGTGATTTGTGGTCACCTTGATGGCCCAGAACAACAACACCAGAGGAGGACACAGAGGCTGCTCGATAAACCCCTCGCGGCCGGGGACCCCCTTCTGTCACGTGAAGGGGAGCTCCCCCTTCCTTCCGCTCCACGTCGCGCTCACTCACCCGAGAGGACCCCACTCTGGCTTCCGGGTAATGCCACTGTCCACAGTGGTTCTCCTCGCTCCCATCTGGGGACTGCAACTTGATACCCTGTTTAAGAGAAAACACGTGCAACAGTGAATGAAGGGAAATCCAAAGTCTCTGTAAATTTTCATTAATAATAATAATAATAATAATAATAAAGCACCGAATCCTAGACTCACTGACTGCCTAGGGTAGAGAAACCCAACAACTAGATCGACACACAAAAGGCTTCTCTCTCAGGAATAGAATTTACCAGGGAGCTCTGGTGGCCTAGTGGCAAGAAGCTGCACTGCAATCCCAAAGGTGCATGGTTCAAATAGACCAGATGCTCCGCTGGAAAAGGAGGGGCAATCTCCTCCTGTGCCAATCAGATCTGATTTGACAGCAAGCAACAACGAAAGAGAAAGATAGGGAAGGAAAGGGAGGGAGGGCGGGAGAGAGAAAGAGAGGGAGGGAGAAAGGAAGGAGAGAAAGAATAATAGAATTTACCCACTTATCCAGGGTCAGAGAGAAGGAGAGGGGACTGAGAATCTGTCAGTTCTGAGCACCACAGACACTCCAAACTCGTTAGCGGCTAAAAGAGGGGAAGTCCGTGATAGGAGGGCGTCCTCACCGATGGACACCAGGTGGCTGTAAGTCTCTAGCATCACCTGCCGGTGCAGGGCCTTCTGAGCAGGCGCCAGGAGCTGCCACTCGTCCCGGGTGAACCTCACGGTCACATCGTCCAACGTCAGTGATTCCTGCAACACAAGGACTCTGTTTAGTGAAACACCACCCTCAGTTTGATGCGAGGGACGTTGCCACACTCATTTCCTCTGCAGAAGCCGCTCCAGGGATCCAGGGGTGCTCTGGTGGCCTGGTGGGTAAGGAGCTGAGCTGAGAAACCCAAGGCAGGTGGGTCAAACCCATCAGCTGCTTGGAGCGAAAAAAGAGGGGCAGTCTCCTCCCATGGCAATTACAGCCTCTGAAAACGCGCTGGAGACTCAGATATCAGCCGGATCCTACCGTAGGGCGCACACACCAGCACAATTATATACCTAGGTTTTTCTTTTTTAAAAAAATGTTATTTATTATTTTGTGTGTGTGTACCGTCAAATCGGATCTGACTGGTACAGAAGGAGATTGTCCCTCCTTCTCCAGCACAGCATCTGGGGGATTTGAACAGCGCACCTCTGGGATTGCAGTGCAGCCTCTTGAGCTCGCCTAAACTTTTTTGTTAATTTTTTGATTACTTTGTGTGTGTGTGTGTGTGTACCGTCAAATGGGATCTGACTGGTACAGGAGGAGAATGTCCGTCCTTCTCCAGCAGAGCATCTGGGGGATTTGAACCGCACACCTCTGGGATTGCAGTGCAGCTTCTTGCCACTAGGCCACCAGAGCTCCTCACCTAAACTTCTTATAGATAGGGGATTGGCCATGTTTCTCCCACGGGGCAGCTGGTGGATTTGAACTTTGGGTTAGCTGTGAAAGTCCTTACCAACGAGGCCACCAGGGCTCGCTACAAGAACCATGAAACAAAAAGGCAAAATTGTAATATTTCTGAACTTGTGCATCCAAAAGACGCGTGGATCCAGAGTCCGTCAACTCATGAAATCAGAATTTCTTATAATGTGTAGCAGTGAAATAAATGGTCTTTGCAACTGCTGACAGCTTTATACACACACACACACACACACACACACAAACACACGCACAGATATACCAATATTATACAGTAGCATATCGTGACATTAGACACAGCATAGCTGGGACCTGTCTAACCTCACAGGGGATAAAGGTAACTATTAGGCTCCTTCAAGCCTGACCTCTCAGAGCCAGAGGGAGGCAGACCTCTGTGGTTGCTGTGTACTGTCAAGTCATAACCAACCCATAGCTAACCTTCCAGGGCTTGTAGATGTTGTTGTGTTGTTATGTGCCATCAAGTTGCCTGCGACTCATAGCGACCCTATGTACAACAGCCCTAAACCCTGCTCTGTCCTGTGCCAATCGCACTGTCTCTGACACTCCCATCCCAATTATCCCAGTCACTGAATCAATCCACCTCATAGAGGGCCTTCCTCTCCTGCGCCGTACCTCTACCCTCCCAAGCATGATGTCCCTCTCCAAGGACCGGTCTCTCCTCACAACATGTCCAAAGTATGTTAGACGGAGCCTCAGAATCCTTGCCTCCAAGGAGCAGCCTGGTTTAACCCTCTCCAGGATGAATCTGTTTGTTTTCCTAGCAGTCCATGGTATTCGCAATACTCTTCTCCAGCACCACAGCTCAAAGGCATCAATTCTCCTTCTACCATCCCTAGTCATCACCCAACTCTCTGATGTGTAACAAGTGATATCAAAGACCTTGGCCTGTATCAGGCGCACCTTAGTCTCCAGAGAGACACCATTGCTCTTCAGTACTTTGGAGAGGTCTCTAACCGCAGACTTTCCCATGGCAATGGGCCTTTTAATTTCCTGGCTACTGATGCCAAGACTGTTGACTATGGAGCCAAGCAAACTAAAGCTGTGAACAATCTCAGTCTCTTTACCATCCATCCTGACACTGCCAATCGGCTCAGTGGTGAGAATCTTTGTCTTCTTGACATTGAGCTTCAATCCATATTGGAGGCTGCAGTCCTTGACCTTCTGCAGCAAGCCCTGTAGATGTTAGATAGAAAAAAAGAGTTGAGAGCAAGAGAGAGAGAGAGAAAGAAGCTGGTACCAAGAAACGAACAGGTACTTATTGGGTGGTCTGAGAGGGAAGCCAAGTGACCTCATTCGGAGAAGGTCAAAGTGGTGCAGCAGTCAAGGGAGGTTTCTTTTTATAGGGGTTTTAGGGAGGACTAGGGAAAATGGTATTTTGCTCCAGAATTGGGTGTGGGCTTTGTGACCAGGCCCAGAGCTGCATCAGGATCTTGTTATCTGGTGTGGTCACCTTAGACATGATCAGGCCTGGGGGCACCAGCGACATTCTCCCTGCAGGAGAGGCGGTCAGTCACTCGGGGAGGGACTGGCCGCCCATCTTTCTCCTGCCGAGCAGCTAGTGGGTTTGAACCCTGTACCTTTGAGTCAGTAGCACAATTCCTTGCCATTAAGCCATCAGTGCTCCCTCTGGTAGACAAATCTCCACCCCCACACTTTTCATTAACTCTGACGGCAGCTGTCCCAGGAACGGTACTCTTCTCTTCTGGGTCGTTTCATCTGTGGCAAAGGCCACAGAGAACCCGCGTGCTGTTCTGTCATGTGTATGAAGAGGCCGAGTCTGGTGTGACATCAGGACCAACAGCGGACAAGCCGGTTCAAGGACCAGGAGGCATGAACATGGCATCTCCTTTCTCCTGTGAAGAGCTGTCTCGACGACTCCCAGTCTCCGCAAGGTCCCGTGAAGAGAGGCTCCTCGTGGCCCTGTCCATTCTGCCTGGACTCCTGCCTGGGTTCCCACACCAGCTCCGCCTCGGGGCCCCTACTGGGCGGTGCCTTCCTGCTGTCACCTGCACCAGCCTGAGCTCTTTTAAGAGGTTCCTTCCTTCTTCCTCCTCCTCTGCGGCTTCTTTCTGCTTCTCTCCTGGCTTCCTTCTGTCTGGCAAAGTTCTATGGGGATATCTCCACCTCAATTTCAAGGTACAGATATAAACAGAGGGAACAGTCCTCCTTAGGCCTCGGACACGTCATTTGCATAGCAGGAGTGGTTAGGTTGCAAGTCACCTCATTTGCATAACCTGGTGGCCAATCAAGTTGCATGCAAACCACAGGGCAGGATACAGCCCAGGACCAGGCAGAATGTACTAACCGAGGGGTTTACAACTTACCCTGGAAATGTCAATCAACCTGGACAAGCACAAAAGATCTTCAAGGGGCATACACGATGGGACAGGTAAATCTCCAATCTGTTTCCTCATGAAGCTGAATTCCAGGAGAATCTACTGTCCCGGAGTCACTGCTGACTCCCAAGGATCTCCTTCGACTTTCCAAGGCTGCAGATCCCAACAGGAACAGCCGGTGGGTTCAAGCCAGAGCCAAACACCACCTTTACCCTGGTAACATGATTCCTTGGGGCGACGCCACCAGGGCGCCCTGCTCTTCTGAGTTTTAAATCCCTGATCCTGAACTCTATAAATGTACAGAAATGTTGGGAGTTCTAGAACAGAGTTCTGTACAGAAATGATGGTAGACATAGAAGAGAGTTCAGGTCTTTTGTGCAAAACTCACTGAGTCGCATTCAACTTGATGACACTTAACCACTGCTAAATGAAACCAGTGCTGATATATCTGGAGGAACATTCTTCCACTTTGTACATCACTCTGTAAATGTGCTGTATGAAGTAACCTGGGTTTGCTGTGATGCTGAACCTTGTGCCACTGGGGTATCAAACGCCAGAATGGTTTCCCAATGTGGACAGTGTTTGGTGGCGCTCCCAGTTGTAAAACAGGTTTGGAAGCAGGAGTGGCATCCACTTCCTAAACCACATGCCTCTGGAAACTCTGTGAACTTGGAGAAACAATGATAGTTATGGAAAGGCTGTAGGTTTTTTGTTCATAGAGTCGCTATGAGTCGCGCCCGACTCAACGGCAATCGACAACAATAAGACATTGCCTGACACTGAAGAGAGTTAATATTTCTCTTTCCCATTTCTCACAACTCAACGGCAATCAACAACACCATGTTGCCTGATGTTGAAGAGTTAATATTTCTTTCTTTCCCATTTCTCTACTTCACAATGTGTCCTTTTCCAAATGAACCAAACGGGTACTTTAAAGGAGTCTACACTTCCTTTAGGGAGCAAAAGAACATGTTAAGACAACAGAAAGCTCACCTGAGCCATGAGCCTCTCTCTGGAATGTTCTTCTTGGGGTGCAGCCAGCACCTGCCGAGTTCTTTGTGTTTTCTGGATCAGCTCTAACATCTGTTCACACAATTCCCGTCTCCAGTGGAGGGACTGTCTTGAGAAGACTCAAATTCTGGAGCCACCTCCTCCTTCTCTTCCTTTCGACTGATTCTCCTGCTGCCGACCCAGGACCTGCAGGCTGGAGGGGAAATACCCGTGAGTGGTACAACACTTCCAGGATCCTGGTGTTCGTGGCCAAGGTCCTCAACATTGAGCGCGGACGGCCCCTCTGTTTGGTGACCCGGCACAGTTTACGCCCGTGTACAAATGCGATCATGTTCACCCATGGTGGACAGCGTTTGGTGGAGCTCCCCGATTAAAACAAGCCTGGAAGCAGGAGCGGCATCCACTTTTAAAATGGTTTGCCTCTAGAAACTCTATGAACAGTGCTCAGGTCTTTCATTCATAGGGTCGCTACGAGTCATCTACGACTGGACGGTACCTAACAATTAAAAGAAGATACAAAAAAAAAGGCAGAGAGACAGGCAAAAGATGTGTTTTCAAGAAATGACACATAGGGGAGCTCTGGTGGTCTAGTGGCAAGAAGCTGCACGGCAATCCCAGAGGCGCACGGTTCGAATCCACCAGATGCTCTGCCGAGGAAGGAGGGACAATCTCCTCCTGTACCAGTCAGATCTGATTTGACGGTGCACACACACACACACACACACACACACACACATAATAAAGTAAAAAAAAAATTACACACAGACACACTCACTTCCTAACTTACAGGTGGTGCCTTCTCTGTGGGTGTGAAAACACAAGATGCTCGGAGAAAGATGGGCCATCTGTCCTGTGCAACTTCTACCCTCCAACAGCCCACAGGAGGGCCAGCGATGAGTCAGTTAGGACTTGCAGGCACTAAGCATGTGAACTTCCTCTAGCCCTGTCCTTGTTGTTACAGGCTGTTGAGTCAAAACCAACTCACAGCTGACTCTCTTTCAGGGGCTGTAAATCACACGAAACGTCCCATACACCCCCCCCCCCAGAGCTGGTGGTAGATTCGAACTGCTCACCTTTGAGTTGGCAGTTCTAGTCCTTACCCACTGGCTTACCAGAGCTTGGGAGCTTGGGGGGGGGGGATTAAATATAAGCTCTACTTTACAACACAGAATCATCTATGTCTATATAATTGTTTTCTAGAACTTTCAATTCATAGACAAATGTGACTTGAAATACACATGGCAAATCGGTGAAGCCTCCAGAAGATACGTTTCCATTTATAGCCTGGGGACATAGTTTAAACAGTTTAATACCGATTGAAACAACAACAAAGTGGATGGATATTGCTTTAAGCAATCACTCACTACCACCAATCTGTGAAAGTCAAGCAAAAAGAAAAAGATACATTAATAAAACAAATGAATAATAAAATACCAAGGGGGAGAGAGACACAATATCCGCAGCCTTACACCTAAACCAGCTGCTGCATTATTTTATTTTATTTTATTTTTGGTATTTATTCATCAGGAATAATAATTAAAAAAAACCCAAAAGTTTTATTAAAGATTGAAAATTTGATACATTTTACAGAAACTTAATTGTGATGTACATACCAGTGGTGACACATTATTACTATTTTGGGGCTGGGGTGGGGTGGGCGGGGTGAGATCTTGTGATTTTTAAGAACCTGCTGGCGAGAATTTCCTTGTCTCCGGCATACTCTGATTGTATCATAATCATTTTCTGCTGTCGCAGAGGATGTGAATACATTTAAGGAACTCACAGGATCCCAGTAGCACAAATTGGGCTTTGGCAAATCGTGTATTTTGTGTATAGAAGGAATTTAAGAAGAAGTATTACTTATTTTCGTATTGTATTTTAACTGTTTCTCTGATCAAAATTTTTTTACTTCCTCCTCCTCCTCTTCCTCCCCACCCCCCTCCTTTTCCAATTCAGTATTTGGAGTTGAACACTGTCTCTCAATCAGATCATCTCGATCTTTTTTTTCTTTTACGTCCCTTCCCCCCTCCCCTCAGTCCCATATCTCGGTCATAAATATTGCATTATCCACACTTTCAAACTGTGTATTTTCTTACAATAAAAAATGATGGAGAAAAAAAAATACCGATTGAGGGCTATCCTGCTTGCTGGAGGAAGTGTAAAAGTGTACAACCCTTCTGAAACCACGTAAGCATTATGGGGGAGGTTAAATGGGAGCTCTCGTGCCCACTGGGATTTGCACTGCTGCGCGCCTCTCTGGGGGTTCAAATCCATCCGCAACTCCCAGGAGAAAAAGATAGGTAATCTCCTCCACGTCACTCACGGCCTCAGAAACCCAACAGTCAGTCAGCTGTGAGTCTGTTCCCTCTTGAAGGCAATGAGCTCAACTGTCATCAGAGCTCTGTATAGACTGCCCTGAAGGTTTGCTGAAAACAAGCTGATCCGATACCCAGCGTGTCTCAACAACGCTGGCAGCTCCCAGGAAACCAAGATTATGGTAAAGGGAGGGAGAGAGAGAGCTCCCAGGGCAAGCGCGGGGAGAGATCTGCGGCATCTTAAAAAGAGGTCATCCTTGAAAAACAAGGAACTCATGAAATATTATGCAAAGTGGATGACGCTGGAGGACATTATGCTGAGTGAAATAGCTCAGTCACAAAAAAAAAAGACAAATATTGCATAGGGTCACTGTTGTAAAACAGGACTGACATCAGGGTTGAGTGAAGGCAGAGAGGGAGGAGAGGAATGATGTATATATACTTCATGGAAACAGATGAGGGAGAGGATTGTTTTAAAGGGATTTATGATTTGGTATTATTGTCATGACAGGAGTCCACAATGAAGGCTGCACAGTGGAATGGACTTGCGGGGAGGGATTGTATAACAATGAAAGAATTTTTCTTTCCAAGGAGAAGAGGGAATTGGAGGGGAGGGGTGGGCAGGGAGAAAAGTGCAACAATGAATGACTGGAAACTAAGTCTCTGTAAACTTTAATTAAAATTAATTTTTTTTTTAAAAAAAAAGAGGTGATCCATCAACTTGAGGCAATGACTGAACCATGCCATTAGCATCATGCATGGAAAGTGATTTCACATCTTGAGTTCGATCAATGATGTGACTCAGTGCATGCAGGCTCCTGTCC